AAACTTTGTATGAATTAAACCATACAAACTATATTATTTTGTTCCATCTTGTTTTGTTTAATGTGTGTGTGAGTCCTACGTATTTTTGTGTGTAGCAGCAGATTGTGAATGGATGCATAGCATTCTAGTACATGAATGCATGACAATATAGTTACCCTTTCAACTGTAGGTGGATGCTTGGGCTTCCAGTTTGAAGACATCTGATGCAACTATGAATATTCTTATGGGTTTACCTGATTCACATGTTCTTGTCTTTCTGTTGGGTCAAGTGTATGCATATGTTCAACTTTAGGAACTAATGCCAAACATTTTTTCAATGTACTTATATCACAGCAGCTGTATGTGAGAGTTCTGTGTGCACACAACACATGGCTCTGTCAGTCTGTGCTGGACAGCAAACCATTCCGACATCGAGTAGCTTGAAACAAGAACCGTTATTTTTCACAGTTCTTTGGATTGGCTGGCCTCACCTGGGCAGTCCTGTTTCCTGTTATAGTCTGGGCTCACTGTTGTGGTTGCATTTACCTAGGAGATCAGATGGAACAGGACACCTAAGCTGTTTTCATTCACACATCTGGTGCATTGGCTAGGGTGGCTGAAACAGGTGGAGGCTGGCTCAACCTCTCTCTCTCCACGTGGTCTCTCATCATTCAGTCATCTATCCCAAGCTTATTTATTTGCCATCGGCTAGATCTCAGGAGTGCAAAAATAGAAACTGCTGAGCTTTTTAAGGCCCAGACTCAGAAGTCACACATCTTCACTTCCACAACATCCTACTGGTTGAAACAAGGCAGCACTAGTACAGGTTCCTGAAGTCGATGCTTTGTTATGCTGTTATGCTGACAATACTCTTCTTCTGGGTACCAATTTCATATCAGTTGTTATTGCTAAATAACAAGTCACCCAAAATTTAGTGGCTTAAAACAATAATCACTATCTCTCATGATTCTGAAGGTCAGCTGGTCCCAACTAGATAGTTGCTGTACCCCCTAAGTAGTTCTCTAGAATATTCCCTTCCCCACTGCTCTGCACAACCACCTTTGGCATAAATCAGCTGTCCATATACATGAGTCTGTTTCATTGACCTTTTCTGTTTGTCTGTTCTTGTGCCAATATCTCACGCTCTTATTTACACTACCTTTGTAATAAGTAAGTCCTGATATCATGTAGTGTTACTACTTTGTTCTTTTTGAAGCTGCTTTTAATATTCTTGCACTTCTGCATTTCCATACACTTTTTATAATGAGTTTGTCAAACACACACCCACACACTGTACCTGTTAGTTTTAACTGAGATTGTATTGAGTTGTAGATTAGTTTGTTAGAACCAACATCTATAGAGATGTATACTCTTGATTAGATCTTTAAAATACTCTCTTGATGAAATATTTAGTATTCTATGTGGAACACTTATCTGTCTTTGCTTTAAGTTGGATTGAATTTTTTTTTACAAATGGTATATTGTTGTTCGATAAAGTTCTGTTGTTAGTAAACAGGAATCCAGATTGTTTTTAATGTTTTTCTTGTGTTCAATGACCTTTCTAAGCTTTTGCCTTAAGCCTGACAATTGATTTGTAGATTTTTTTAGTATTTTCTACATACAATTATGCCATTAATAAATAATGACATTTTTTATTTTCCATTATTATACATTATATTGTATTTCTTTGCTTTATTATTTGGACAGAATCTCAAGAACAATGTTGAATAAAGATGGTAGTAGTGATCAGAGGGGAAAGTTTCAACATTTCTCTATTAAATTTGATGTTTGCTATGTTTCCAAATATGTACTTATTTGAATTAGGAAGTTCCCTTCAAGTCATAGTTTGCTAAGATTTTTTTGTCTTAATGGACATTGAAGCTTATCAAATTTACTTTTTGTATCTATTGAGAGTATCACATCATTTTCTTCTTTATTTTGTTAATGATGAGAAGAGCATTGATTCTGTAATATCAAACCAAATTTTCATTTCAAGAATAAATCCACTTTGGTGGTGATATATTATCTTTTTTATACATTCTTGGGTTTGGTATTCTGATACTTTGATCAGAATTTTTACATCTATGTTTATAATAATAAACCTATAATGTTCATCGTTTATAAGGTCCTTGTTGAGTTTTGGTAACAAGGTTATGCTGACTTCATAAAAGGATTTGATAATTATTCCCACTTTTTCTGTTCTCTGGAAGATTTTCTTTAAGTTTACTGTTATATCTTCCCTAAATATATTTTTTATGGTTTTATTTATTTATTTTTAGAGACAGGAGAAGGGAGGGAGAAAGGGAGAGAAACATTGATATGTGAGCTGCTTCTTACATGTCCCCAAACAGGGACCTGGCCTACATAACCCAGGCATGTGTCCTGATTGGGAATCGAACTGGTGACCTTTTGGTTCACAGGCCAGCGCTCAACCCACTGGGCCACACCAGTCAGGGCTGTCCCTGAAATGTTTGATAGATACAAATATTGGTCCAATAGTAGGGTGCTACTATAAGAAAGAACAGCAACACATTTCAAATTATGTGATGTTAACATTCAATCTGGTACCATGAATTGGTTATTAGACACTTGAAAAGATGGCAACCCATGCCATACAGTGGGAAAAAATTATAAAACTGTAGTCTTGAATAGGGTAAAGGGCATATTATATATCTAATTAGTTTGTATTTTATGCAAAGAGTTAGAAGATTAATATTATTAGAATGAGTTCATTACCACTGGCTGCATTTGCCAAAGTACTACAAGAAATAAAGGAGCTCAGAAAATATTTTGGCTGGTTTGTGAGCAGGAGTATAAAGAAATGCAGAGACAGCCAAAAACCTCAGGTACTTGTAGGGTTGGAAGGTGTAACTGATTCATAGCTTCAACTAGTAAAGAAGCAACTGAAAAGGCCTTTGATCAACTAAGTCTGCTTTAAAGTCTGTCCAGTGGCAGGGCCAAGTCAAGGGCATGGCTGCCACACCCTTGTTAGGATCTCCAAATGGACCAAGGTGGTATCCAGCAAATACTGTCTATCGTAAAAACATCACAGGGAAGATAGACTTAGGGTTTGGTTCTTCCTAAGCAAGACTGACAGGCTCAAAATATTTGCAATTAAACTTAGAGGGAGAAAAATGTCTCTAAATAATTGTGGCCTGTAGCACTGCCTAGAATCAAGTGCAAACCTTGAGTTAGATTTTGAGGGCGTGGTATAATCAGAGGAATCATCAGCATGGTTTAAAAGAGATGTGATCGGGATTAAAAATAGTCATTGGGCCCCAGCCTTCTACAGCAGGATTTCAGAATCGCTATGGATTAACTCTTTTATACGTCATTCTTCTTTACAAATCATAATATTTATTATAGTTATGCTTTCCCTGTTCTACCATCATGTATACTGTATATAGGAGCTAGGGCCAGAAAACTTACTTTCTTAGTTCAGAGATCTCTAGGTCAACAGGAGCTATATCTGGATCTGTAGAGACTGTTATGAGTCATGCATGTCACCTGGAATCTAAGCTAAAAATACTGATGAGACGGAACTTTTGGGTTGTCTCCCTTAAAAAGTGGGTGAATGTGCTCTGTGTGGGGGAAGAGGAGGAACTGACCCACAGGCTAAATTGTGGTAGACTGCATTACTGTTTGTGTTCTTATGCAATCCTCTCCCCTTGAGTGTAGGCTGCACCTAGTGACTTGTTTTCACTAATAGAGAAAAAATGATGGGCTATCACTGCTGCAATTTGGTTACAGAGAGACCATAGCTTTTCTCTTGTGTGCCCTCTCTTGCTTTTTCATTTGCTCACTCTGTTGGGAGCCAGTTGCCCTTGAACTGCTCTATGCAGGAGCCCATGTGGCAAGGGAGGCAAGGGAGGTCTCCACCCAACAGCCAGTGAGAACCGAGGCCTTCAATCCAACAGCCTATGAGCAACTGAACCTGCCCAGAGTCACAAGAATGAGCTTCAAATCCTTCAAATGAGACTGGAATCCTGGCCAAACCCTTGACAGCACCTTCTTTTGAGAGACCTTGAAGCAGAGGTACCTGTTATGGATTTAATTGTGCCTCCCCAAATTCATGTTGAAACCCTACCCCCGCCCCGCAACATGACTATATTTGGAGACAGAACTTATAAAGCGGTAATGAAAGTTAAATGAGGTTGTAAGGGTGGGGCCTTAATCCAGCAAGACTGGTATCCTTCCAAGGAGAGAAAGAGACACTAGATCTCCCTCTCTCTCTCAGTCCCTCCCTCCCAATCTAAGGTCTTCTTTCTTCTAAGGTCTCACAAGACCTTCCTTAGAAGAAAGGTCTTGTGAGAACACAGCAAGAAGGTGGCCATTTACAAGTCAGGAAAAGAGGTCTCACCAGAAACCAGCCCTGACAACACCTTGATCTTGGACTTCGGGTTTTCAGAAGTGAGGAAAATAACATTTTTTGTTGTTCAGGCCACCAGGCCTGTGACATTCTGCTATGGCAGCCCTAGTAGCTGAAGACAGCGCTCCCCTAAGCTCTGTCTGGATTCCTGACCCACGGGAACTTGGAGATAATAACAGTAATGCATTAGCTTAATTTTTTCCTCTGCATTCTCTTTGACTTGTATCCTCAAAAGACAGGCAGGTGGACTGGCGCCTTTGTGCTCTTCAGAGTCTTGCTTCCAGGGGGGCAGAAATAAAATCTGTATTCCTGGCTGGTACAGAATTGTTCTAATTTCTAAGTCATTTTCCCAGCTGAGTGGAAACAGCTCTGGTTTGGAGTCATGTTTGGGTGCAATGAGATGAGGACAGAATGAATCACAATGACCTGGAGTATGTGAACTCCCTTGTGTGTCTGTGTGGATTATCTTCCATGGATCTATATGTAAAGGAATTGCTCTAAATATATAACTTCTATAAGGACAATATCAATATACTGGATGTTTCTGGTTGATCTTAATTAAACATCTGTTGAAATAAACCTAGTTTCTAGGACTGGAAGAAAATAATTTGCTGAAATGTCAGGTGGGAATTCTTCCAGAAAAACCCTGGAAATGGAGAGCTTCCGCACAAGATTCAGTGCCTGGACACCGTTTAGCAACAAGTCTTTAAACAGACAGGTGAGTCTCATACTCTAGAATAAAGCGAATTTCCTTTGTGAGGCTGATTTTACTACAATATGTTGGGTTGCATGTTGCCATATGCTTTTTTTCAGGGTGGAAACATCCCTAAACAATTTAGTTTTTGAATCACCTAAAACAAAAATAAACCTACCTTTGTCTGCACCAAAGACAGTTTCTTCTCACCCCAGTCCCCACGTCCTACCTATGGGGGGCTCCAGATCTGTCCCCCTTTTCCTCTGTACCTCCTGGGACGAAGAGCAACCTCCAGAGCACACACTGTTTACTGTGACAAAAAAAGAAGTGCTTCCGGTGGTGCGGAGAGAGTTAATGTACAGGGTGGGCGAAGGCAGCTTAACAGCTGTGAGGACGTGAAACAAAGAGTTCATTCTTGTATTATTTTTATTAAATTATTGTATTATTTATTTCTATTATTTGTCTTATTACTATTATCATTTCATGTCCTTAGTTCCAATGTATCTTTTAGTTAACGAGGGCTGGTAACTTAAGTCACCACTGCATAGCTCTCTGTATTTCTTTAATCCTCTCTGCCCTCCTGTGCCAACTGTATGGATCAGTGGCCTGGGGACGTCCCCTTTGAAAGGTAGCCCAGGAAGTAGTCAGATCTTAATGGAGGAGCTGGCTGGGCCCACAGAGCTCCTACAGGTTCAGGCCGGCTCACAAAGGAAGCAGGCCCTGCAGTCCGGGACCAAAGCCCGACTGAGTAATCCAGCCAGTGAGTGGGTACGTGTCATCCTAGCAAAGCTGGACTGAAACCCAGATTTGGGGGGATGCTGGTTCCTGGTGTATGTCTTCCCCGGAGACACGTCTAGCAATGCCTAAGGGGCAGTATTCACTAACTTTCATTTTGGCGGGTACAGTGAAGATACAGGACTGTGAGTTAGTAAAATCACACCTACTTCAAAGGGCCTTGTTTTCACAATTCCATGAGGGTAGCCTGCTTGTGATTTCAAGATGAAATATTTGGAATCTGTTGCCCCAGGCCATATGAGCTAAGGTAGAAACGAGAACCAGGATTCTTTTTACCTCTTTGTTTTGAAAGAGGCCTCCTTGGGCCCCTGTGTAATTATATCTCCCGCCCACCTTTTCCACCAGCCCACCCAACAAGCCTGTGCTTGTCCTTATCCAAAAGTGGGTTCAGCTGAAGGGAGAGACCTCTACTAAGTATGTGAAAACGCTTTGTGACCTGTAAAGCACTATGCAAATAGGAGCCCTGAGGTTGTTAGATTGCCGGAGGATTGCTAAGCAACTAAGAATATATTCAGCTATACAGACAACTGTCATTTTTTCCCCTCTATAGCTCTTTCAGGAAAGAGTTGCTCTTATAAGTCATTGGTTTGACCTCTGGACTAACAAGCAACGTCAAGAATTCTTATTCACGATATTTTTACGATGCACTAAATCACAATTAAGGTAAATGTGGCCTATTGATATAATTGTCATTGGTTCTTAAAGAAAATAAAGTGTAGTAAACTGTTTATATAACTCTTAAGGGTTTTTTTCCTTAGAAGTAAAATCAAACAAACAAAGCCACCGATGGTTTAAGGTTTATAAACACTCTTCTGCTGCTGCTTTCTTGAGGGGAAATGGAACATCTGGGGCTTTAATTTCAGCAGAGCACAGAGGGAGGTATTTAATTTTTGCAAAAACTTGTAAATAAAACTTCAGCCAGTGAAGTTTTAACATTGCCCTAGTATATTAAATCCTCCTTGGAACCATGAGACAGACAAGTATATCAAGTAGAGATGTGATACATAGGTAGGCACTCCATAAAGATGGGTTACATAAATGGATGGATCTGAAAAGTATCTGAGAAGCAACCATAGTAACAGCATTTAGGAATATGGGCAAGACTTGTACAGTAGTGGTCAGTGATTGTCAGTGGGCCCTTGTTCTTGCTCTTAACTTTCTCTCCTATTATGTCTACACTTTACTTTGAAATACTCCAGCAAAGATGGTGTGATATTCAAAGGTGTTGGCTGAAATACCAGGGGCAGCAGTATTCTGATCAGGAATTAATACTAGCATTGTATTGGGCAGGTAATGGTCTCAGTTATCACCTGATCCTTTGCTGATTAACACAGCAAATAGTTATTTGCTGTGTCCCTGGCATGCATCAGACATTAGTTATTATCAGAGCAACTAGTGGCTTGTCACCTTGTCAGATGAATGTTACACATGGGGACTCTTTAGTGAAATTAAAGATGTGAGACAGACTGAATACTCCAGAGAGCCCTGCAGGGTACCTGGAGGCGTCTGAAGAATCCAGCCATGCTGGTAGCAGGTGCTTGAAGGAATTGTTTCCTAGGTTTTATGCCCAAATAAATGGTCAGTCTGGGGGTTGCTGGTGGCCTGAGGTCAGTGGTGAGGGTAATGACAGCACCCCGTTCCTGGAACTTGTACTGTTTCCTGTTGTTTCTCAACTGAGCGAAACTTGCACCCAGAAGTCAGAGAGCTGGGTTTTAAACCTGCAGAACAGACTGTGTGAACTGGTTTGGGCTTATTTACCAAGGTGTTAGTGGCTGTCACTACAACCTGGTGGTGAGGTTGGGGGGACTTTGAACTTCTTAGGCAGCTACCCAAAAGTATTGGAGTGAGACTTGTGAAAGACCAAATTGGCTTATTTTAGTGGCAATGCCTGCCTCCCCCTTTTCCTTGCACCCTTCCCTGCCCATCTCTTTGGATGGGCCATTTCATCTCTTCTAGGGACTCACTCACCTCCTCCGTTGTCAGCTTTCGCCTGCATCTGTGGGCACATAGTGGATTGTTAACCAACTGTCCCTTATGAAGTCACTGAGTCACCAGGGGGAGACATATCTTCCTGGTTGTGTTGAAAAAGCTGCAAAAAGAGGCCATAGAAAAATAACTCTTCAGTCAACACTTAAAAAACAGGGAAGGGAACTTTTTATGGCAGGCATTGGCTAGCTTTTCTTTTACTCCAACTTGACAGCTTTCCAGATAAGAAAATAAAAGACCAAACCCCACATCTGTAATTGCTTTGTATTGTAGTCTCAGGTATCATAAACCAAGCAATTTTAGTTGTCAACACTAGAGGGCACTAGAGAACTGCTGGTATATTTTGAGGCTTATTAATACTAGGCCTGACATTGTGTCACTGGAAATTGTATCCTTTGTCTGATATCTGAATTCTTCTTTCTGTGGGACAAGGATATGGAACTAATCTGTTCAGTGAAATCACTTTGCTTTGTTTCCCAGCAGCTGTGTTTCTGCAGAGAGCTGTTTGTATTTCATAGTCCCACAAAGCTGTGAGGACTTGTTCGGAGCGGCCGATTGTAGGGGAAGTTGGCTGTCAGTGTTCAATTTCTGGTCTCTAGACTTGGCATCCTGAACGCATCTTGCATTTGTAGTGGTGGCTTCTGTTGTTTGATACCAATAAGTTCTCTCCCCAAAGCCTGGATTAAGTCTTTCTTACCCGCCTTTCCCCCCCTTTCTTTCGATCAGCCATTGCTTCTCTTCTACCGACGCCCACAGACCCCGTGTGCTCACGTCTGATCCAGCACAAACTGCGCTCAGGTTAGGTGAGGTCTTACAGCCCAACTCACTTTACTGCTCAGATTAAACTTAGTTCAACCAACTTCCTTTTAAACATCTTCATTCAGATATAATTCACATACAATGAAATCTACCCATTTAAAGGTACAGTGCAACAGTTTCAGTAAATTCAGAGTTGTGAAACCATCACCACAGTGGAAATCTAGAACATGTTCATCACCCCCAAAGGACACCCCCACCCGTGAGCAGTCTCCTCTTCTCCAGCTCCCAGCACTGGGAAACCACGAATACACTTTCTGGTTCTATGTATTTGTCTTTTCTGGACTTTTCATATAAATAAGATCCTACAATGTGTGGTCTTCTGTGACTGGCTACTTCCAAGTATTATGATCCTCTCGAGGTTCAATAATTTTGTAGCATGTATCCGCACTTCTTTTTATTGCCAAATAATATTCTATGGTATGGATAGGCCATATTTTATTTATTCATTCATCAAGTTGATGGACAGATGAGTAGCTTACACATTTTGGCCACTGTAAATAATGCTGCTATGAACATGTGTGTACATGTTTTTCTACATGGATGTACTTATGTCTTTTAGATATATACCTAGGAATGGAATTTCTGGGTCAAATGTTGACAGGACAATCAACTTCTTATAATTAAGTGTTTCTTTGGAATCATAGTTACTCCTATAGCCCCTGTTGCCTGATAACTGTGAATGAGGTTGTGAATAAATGGGAGATTTTAGCCTTCTTTGATGCCTGGAATCGTTGTGTAAGCCAAGCTATATATTTGTGCAAAATACCTCATTGTCCAGGCAGAGAAGCCATTGTGGTAGATGCTTTGTCTGGTGATTTCTGGATGACCCTGTTGTGCTCTGGGTGGTTAGAACTGCGAAGCTTAAGTAAGAGGCTGCAGTGTTGGTCAGAAATATGCTATCACAGTTTCTGTAAAAGCTCCTTCTCAGTCTCTGTGAGCTGTATTTGAACATCGAAGATGCTCCTTTCCTAATAGATATTCCATATTGTTAGAATTTAAAAAGGTTTCTTCAACAGTTTTACGATATTTAAGAGAGCTTCCAAAGGTCCAGCTTCTGAAACCATCCCTTTGGCAAATTCTCCCTCACACCTCACCTGAAATGTGCCTTCTCCTGGGAAGCCCTCCCCACTCATTCTGAATTCGCCCCCAGCAATTTTTACAAGCCTCTATCACGGCGTTTCCTCCAGTACCTTGTGCTTTTGTTGTCACGTGTCTACTGGTTTCCAGTGTGTTGTCTCCCGGCCACTTGGCTGGGCTCACCTTTCTCGTGACTCCTTAAAGGAAACTGGGCTGTTTGTGTCTGTCTCACCTGGGGAGAGAGACCTATGAGAAGCCTGCACCTGTCTCCCAGCCACACTGGTGAGACCGGTTTCAAATTGCCTCTGCTCAATCCCCGGGAACGCCCCACACAAAGGCCTTTTAGTCCAAGGCTGGAGCTGTTCAAACTTGTAGCTTTGCGTGGCGGGTGGGGCCACAGTCATGTAAAATCATTTCCAAGAGACAGATGGAGTGTGTGTGTGTGTGTGTGTGTGTGTGTGTGTGTGTGTGTGTTTCAGGGGGAGAGGGAGGTAGTGATCAGTGAAGGATTCACTTTCCTCATATGTCTCCCTCAGAGCCAACTGGCAGTGGGGTTGGAGGGGAGGCAGAGCTACCAACCAACGTACAGGTAAAGCTTCATGCCCCCCCACTCCGCCCCCGCAACTTCAGTACACCCACCCCCCTTTCCGAGCCGCCCCTGGGAGGGCTCAGCTGGGAACTGTGAGGAAATCCTGTAGACAACACAATTCTTGGTTAACTTTGAATGTAGAACAGCTACCTCACTGTGAGTGACTGAATGTCCATTGGAAAGAAGACTTCTGTGTGGAGGCAAGGGGTGGAGAGGGGAGGAAGCAGGGACACACCGGGTTCCTAAATATCTCACACAGTCTTCAAATTCGAGTCATCTTGACTCTTCCCTCCCTTCAGCTTGTGGTCTGGACATGTTCCTGCCCTTTCACAGAATTCCCATGGTCGTGGGCAATCATGTGAACTGTTAGTGTTTCTTGCTGGGGCAGGGGGTGTTAGAGGTGGATGAAGCTGAGAAAAAAAAAACACCCTTGAATTGAAAAGAAAGGGAGAAACCCAATTAAAAGCCCAAAGCCACTTAATTGGGTGGGGCTGGGGACAGGAGAGTGGAGGGTGAGAAGTTCATTGGCCTGTATTAGGAAAACCTGTGCACTTGAAGTTCTCACTTCTATTTTGTAAATGGTGTTTCTTTTAATAATGTGTAACATACCTTTGTAGCACTTGGTACCACCTGACATGTTATATTCAGTACTTGTTGGTTTACTTAGTGTCCGCCTGCCCACTAGAGGTGAGAACTCTGGGTAACTCTGCCTGTCCCAAGCACTTAGAACGACACCAGGTACATAGGAGCCCTCAGCAAATGCTTCATGAATGATGAATGAAGCTGTCTAAAACACTCCTATTACAGCAATAACAAGAAGGTACTCAGAAAGAGATTGTCATCTGATAGTTCTCAGGAGGAAAACATTTTTCGAGATCATAAAAGTTTTTGAATAGAGGTGATTACTAATGCTTTGCTTCATTCAAGACTTTTCATCATTTAATTAGTTCAAGACCCCTATAAAGCAAATCCAAAAGGAAGTAGGCACAGCAGTGAAAGCTAAGGGTGCCCTGCCACGCAGCTCCACAGGCTGCCATTTCACACTGTGACCTGTGGGAAGGGCACCTCCTGAAGTTCGTTGCACAACCTCCCAAACACAGCAGCCCAGGCAGTAGTACCAGCCATTTGTGAAATGCATGGCATTAGCTTCTGGATCTACCAAATGGAGAATTTGGGGCGGGACATGGAGACA